AAAATAGTAAACATTCTCTGGCTGTTTTCTTTTGCTTATCATAAAGAACCTTTGCCGGTGCCCCATAAAAATCCTCATTCTTTTAGAACTAGAAGCGTGTAGCGTGTGTGCTGGTCTTATTCAGTCAGTGTGACAGTTTCTGTCAACAGCGTTAAGTGTGGAGTGTGTCTTATCAGATGTTTGCATGTGTCTATTTACTCCTCACTCCTGGTGCAGAAAATTCTTGTTGTTTGGTGAATAGCAACACATGCCAGAGGACAGTCTAATTTACTTTTTTTAAAACTAAAAGAACACAAAAGCTTCATGTTTGGGTTTTACATGGGTTCTTTCAAGTTTCCAAGTTTTTCAGAAATCTGGTTTGGTTTAGGTGGTTGGGTGGGGTTTTGTGGCTGAGTTTAGTTGAGAATGCATTAAAGGACCCCGACTCTAGGATTCCTGCAATGTGGTTATGGGCAAACACATAGCTATTTGAAAAATTTGATGGTGTAGCCTTTTCTTCCAAACTGACACTAAATAGAAACTTGTGAAAGATCGCCTGTTAGGTGTAAATAAAGTAATGAAAATGTGAGCATGTGTCATTTTCACAGCAGTGTTGCTGAGTGCTCTGCAACACAATTATAATGTTCTTTTTGCGAAGTGGATGATTGAAGTCCATAAAAATGCCTGAGTTTTCCTTAGAATTTTGGTTTATATTCTTAAACRTGAGAACTTTGGAAAGGATTCACATCAGTCCATGTTTTTCACTGTTTTTTATCAATTACTCGTTAGGACTACATGAAAATTGTTCGTAGTCACATTTATGTCTGTGAGATGTTTGGAATGGTTTTAGGGGATCTTTTTTGTTGTTGTTGTTGTTGTTGTTGTTGATCTGTTTTAATGCGCCTAGTCCATTATAGCATGAAACCCACCACCACATGGTTTGAATATAACTGTGCCAGGCTGCTTTGGCTCGTTTGTGCCACTCAGAACTACCTTCACGTGAAGAGGAACTCGTTCTCTAAAAGTTCCCCAACTGCCCTCACGAAGCCCTGTCTATCACCCCCACTTTTTTTTTCTTCCTCACTCCGGCTTTGTCTCACCATGGGTTACTGTTGCCAGGCTACAGCCCAGGCCTTTAAAAACTAGCTGTTTGGGTCACTGCCCCCCCCCCCCCCCCCCCAACACTTTTATACAAAGGGGTTCTGACTACTTTAGTTCTTTTATTTGGGCCACAAAACAATCCCAACCCCCAATCTGGCTCTTTGCAGGAGAAGGGAGAGCCAAGCTGAGAAGAGCCAAGCTGAGGAGACTGCTGGAGGGAGGGGGCAAGGATGGGCCCTTGTTGGCAGTGTGGTGTCTGTACAGACTCTAATAAAGGAGAGAAGCTGCTTGCTGCTTGTTTGTGGAAAAGGAGGAATGGAAAAAAACAGATGCGTTTGGAAAATGCGAGTTTTTAAAAGTTACTATTTTTCTAGAAATTTGAAGTCTGCAACATGTTCTATCAAAACACTCGTTTTGTTACTACTCTTGCTCTCTTGTATTGACATACAACTACTTCAGCAGATAGGGAAGCTTCTTTTTTCTTGTTTCCAGCATGACTGTATGTATGAACCATGTCATAGATTACGGCCTCTTTGTTCAAGGTGAGCCACCTTCTGACCTCTGGCAGAATAGCTGCTATTGTGTAGAAGAGGATGAGCTCRGGTTACTCTGCTCAAGTGAACCAGAAAGCAGGAAAATTAGGATTGTATTACACAAGCATAAGTCACAAAATGTACTCGTATAAATCAAAGCAAATTAGGTGAAAGATGCTTTTGTTTGACACAGAAAAACAAATGCATCATTGCAAATGTGTTACATGTTGTGTTTCAAAGCAGAAAACTGTGTTTAGAATATTTTTTTTCTTCTTTGAATTCTTCAGTGGGTCTTCTCTTGTAAGAATTCATGATACTACAACTGTTCCTCAAAGGCTGAAGGTGGTTGTAAGTTTCTTCTGCTGTGTTTGGGTGTGTAGTGATTGTTGCATGGTTTTGCTTTTTTTGCTGTGGTGCTTTTGTTTAACTTCCCCGAAAATGTGATTTGAGACTGTATATTTGCTAATSCATGTGCTTGTGAAGAATGACCAATTCTTGAAAGATATGAAGCGCCTCATGTGTGCAAGAATGTGTTTGTTAATGGGTCAGTCTCATGGGCAAAAACAGCACAGTTGTTTTGGCTTAAAGTCTGGCAGGAGAGTTAAATGCCGGACACCCAGAGGTGCGCTGACAGATGTGGACAGGTGGCAGGATTGCAGCTGGCAAAAGCCCTCACATGTGTTGACATGGCGAGCGATTCCCCACTCTGCCCATCTCTGTGCTGAACCCGGAGACCTCCTTTCTCATCTGCTGCAAGCTCTTCCTCAAAGGTCAGATGTCGGCAGTCGCAGTGTATGACTAAAAGGCCCGTTGCACAATAGMAGCCTGCACCTGCCGTTCAAATCTTGCACGAATAGAGTTAAAATGCAGGCAAAGGCTCAAATCCTGCCCTGCCTTTCCCATAAGCAGAAGAATCCACAAGGTTAAAATGAGACTGATACGCAGAGTTTTCATAGCAGAATGCCTTTCACTTTCTCTGCACTGCTTATCAGTCTGATTTGTATGTTATGGGAGTAGCGTGTTGGCATTGAGGTMTAGACAAAAGAATGTGTGTTTTGGCTGCTTGGTTCATTGTACATTTGTCAGGGAGGACAAATCCATTTTTATTACAGACATAATCATGCACTCATGTCCACTAATGCAGCAGCAATCATGCACTTGATCATCATAGTCAAAAACGCATTCCATTCCAACACTTTTAGATTAATATTAATATTCACTGGCATTCAGAAACATTCCTGGAGTACCGGTGAGTTGTTGAGTTATTTAATTTATCTACAGAGATTCATAATAGTCTGTTGAGAAGAACAAAGTGTTAAGACTGTAACTGTTTGGKTTTTATGAATTTTAAATTGCCCACAACACCAAGAGGTTCCATAAGAACTGAACAGATTGTGTTGTATTTTCCAGCTCTTTAGGCAACTTTCTTCTTTGGTACTTTCAAAGACCTCTTTGTGCCACATTCGTGTTTCATTTTTAGTGACACCCTGGATTCCAGACATAGTTAATTTGCCTCTAAATAAACCCAGCCAAGCCATGACAAATAGTTATGGGGACCAAGGGTGGGGGGGACGAGGACTGGTTGGGTGTCAGCCTTGCTTGTTTGCCTGTATTGTTGCTAGGGCAACGTGAATTGTTCACAAGGAGTGCGCAGTGTGTTTTTAGAACAAAGGACCGAGGATTACAGGAAATATGACATGACATTCCTGCTGGACTAGACCAYTCTCGTCTCCTCTTCGTCGCCACCAGTTGCACCTTCTAAAAGATGTTTTCTCCTACATAGCACCGCGCTACACTCTGCAGCCTGACTGACATTATCATCACAATCAGACGGGGGACCTCTGACATATGACCTCTCAGCGTGTGAGAGGAGGGAGTAGTTCAGGGGAAAGCCAAGCTGGCGTTCAGAGGGGATTTAAAAGATAGAGAGGCTGTATCTGTGCAGACTCTTTCTCTCGTCATAGCGGTCGAGAGCAGCTTCACTTTAACATCCCACCAATGAATCAGTGCTTTGCTGCTGACCTTGAGTGTATCTTCATGAGCTAAAGTGTGAATAGCTTGAAACTGTTGGCATACGAGAACAATGTTAGCGTATTTGTACGTTTTCTCATCAGGAATGTTTGTATCAAAAAATAAACAATAAAAAACAGCATGGTTCCTCTACTAAAAAGATAACCTTTTGTTGATTCCTTTTTTTTAAATAAAGAAATTCAAACACAGGCCAGAACCCAGCTGTCACTGCCCTGCAGCCAGCATCAAACGGTCTGTTTGAAGAGGGGGTTTGACACTGGCCAAAAGCTCCACTGAGGGTGTAGAGTTACCAGCATCACAAGCTTTTTTGAACTCCCATAGAAGCATTGCAGGGCGCCATAGAGARCCCRGTTCAAATGTTTTTCAGCCTCTTGYTACAGCACGTTCAGGTCAGGCTTACAAATAATCTACACAACTACCCTGTCAAACTTAGCTAATTAAAAGCATGGAACCAGTTTCAGTTCTCCTGTGTCTGCAGGGATTTCGCTTGCACATAATGCGTGTCAGCATGTTTTGACATTGATCAAAACCCGGTGGTCACTGCATATGTAAAACGACGAAAAGAAATAWAACATTCATGTACTGTTTTGTAATGCAACAAGTTTAAACAACCATAAAGGAGATATTAAATATGTTTCACATAGGAGCAACGACTAAAACACATCTGACACACCTTAAGTGTAGACAAGCTGTTTGATAAAATATGATGTAGTTGCATCACAATAACACCACAGGAAGGGAGAGATGATTTCATTCAAATGCTGCAGCTGTTTCTTGTATTCCAATCATAGTGTGTATAATCCTTGTTTCTCCTCGTGTCAGGATTTGTTGACATGTATTACGTTTCCAGACTGCTGTCTCTGGGTGTGTTTATCTTTATCTTTTTCTTTTTTTTTAATGCGGAAAAAAAAAGAAAAACAGAGATTTWAAAAAAAAAAGCTAAGAGTGGAACAAATGTTAGCTGGCATGTAGAAAATTAGCTCTTCCATCTGGAAACAACAGAATCTTCTTTATGAAGCCAATAAAGCGCATAAAGTGGCCTAAATATTTGATGTGGGTCTTTGCAGTCATAATGTATGGCATGGTGTGCACTCATGAGCTAAATGTAAAGTCATTCTGAAGCCCAAAGGGATTGCCGACTGTATGAGTCAGGAATTAGGTTTTGCCAAGGTGTCATTAGGACCTGATTACCACAGCATAAAGAATATTGGGCTGCGATTTCTAATGTTTAGCAGCTTCTTTTTTTTTTTTTTTTTTTGAAGATTTGGTTTGTCAGCTTGTGACCTTTTTGTGATTTGTGAGCTACATACTTAATGTGTGTCTGTGTGTGTGTGTGAATGTATGCGATTTGGGTAGATGTCGCCCCGGATTTATTGGTCCCCTCTGTCAGCACCTGGATCCCTGTCATCGATCACCATGTCTGAATGGTGCAGCGTGCAGAAGCCAGGTGGTTAATGGTCTCCCGCAGTACACATGTGTGTGCCAGAGAGGGTTCAGAGGTGAGTGTGTTTTTCAGGAGAATTTTAGTCTAAGAAAGCTACGAGTGTTTTTGACTGAGTGCGTGTCATCCACTTTCAGGCCAAGACTGCTCCCTCATCGACGCATGTGCCACAAGTCCCTGTGCCAACGGGGCTCGCTGTGCCAATTGGAATAACCACTACAACTGCTCGTGTCCACCTGGCTATCAGGGAAAAAACTGCCGCAATGACATTGACGAGTGTCGCAAGCCTGGCTCGTGTCTCAACGGTGGCCTCTGCATTAATGCTCATGGGTCTTTCCGGTGCCAGTGCCAGCAAGGATACAGTGGACGTACATGTGAGGTGTCCACCTTACCCTGTGCCCCATCTCAGTGCCTTAATGGAGGGACCTGTCGCCAGACAAGTGACCATTCCTATGAGTGTGCTTGTCTAGCAGGTACAACAGCTGTCTCTATGTAGAAACCATACGCAGTCTGTGTTTATTTCTCATGGTTTTCCCAGGCCCTCTGCAGGGTGCTGAAGTCCAACAGATTTTCCCAGCATGATGACGTAGTACTGTTGCTGGGATTTAGTTCTGTGTCTCAGGTCAGCTTCCTGTCTGCTATTAATAGCTTCTGATGGGATATGAGGTGGTGGGAGAGTTGAAGAGGCAGCATGTCTGTTCTCTTCTCCACTCTGCTCTGTTCGCTACAGAAGGAATTTACTTTATTAGCCTTCTAGTTTCCCACTGGGGACCTGACAGGAAATGTCCCCTGCCAGAGAGGAAGTCATTGAAACTGTGAGAGATTATAAAACAAGCAAACATTGAGGGGAGTGCAGACCTCTGGAGCAGGCAGGAATCACTTCCATTGCTGGCATTGTGTGGGAAAAGTCAAACGAAGACGTAAACAGTCAGACACCTTTTGAACTCTTTTACTGCCCACGTTACCCCACATTTTCTCCAGTGTGGGAAACGTGACTCGAGTGTAGGGGAAGAAATGTTTAGTATTCTGTAAAAGAGACAAGGAATGTTTATTAAACTCACAACTGTTGGGTGCTGCCTTATCTGTGTAGTGTAACACTTTCCCCATGAATCTGTTTCAGGGTTTGAGGGACACAACTGTGAGAATAATGTGGATGACTGTCCAGGTCACAAGTGCATGAATGGAGGAATATGTGTAGACGGTGTCAATACCTACAACTGCCAATGTCCACCTGAATGGACAGGTACAGCTTGTAAAATACAATTTGACAGTCATGTTTATTACATTGTTGGTGTATGTGAACCAATATGTCACTTTGTCATTGAAGGACAATACTGTGCTGAAGATGTCAATGAGTGTCTCATGCAACCCAATGCCTGCCATAACGGTGGTACTTGCTTCAACACCATTGGGGGCCATACTTGTGTTTGTGTTAATGGCTGGACTGGAGATGACTGCAGCGAGAACATTGATGACTGTGCAACAGCTATTTGCTTCAACGGCGCCACCTGCCACGACCGTGTAGCATCCTTTTTTTGCGAGTGCCCGGTTGGGAAAACCGGTATGTCACTTTGTAAATGGTTGTCTTTTCTGTGCCTCTAAAATGCAATTACCGGTAAGTGAAGTAAATACTCTTTATATATAATATTTGCACAGGTCTGCTGTGTCAYCTTGATGATGCATGTGTGAGTAATCCATGCAACGAGGGTGCAGTATGTGACACCAACCCTCTTAATGGCCGCGCCATTTGTACCTGTCCTGCTGGTTTTGTGGGAGGTGCCTGCAATCAGGACATGGATGAATGTTCGATTGGTGAGACATCAGTTTT